TTGTGTCGGATCGCATTCTCCAGTCTCAGTGGCAGCTGCCAATGGCTGGTAAATTGAATCAGATTTTGCTGTGGCCTACCTTGAAACTTCGCACTGGCGTGGCCATATCAATTTCTCAGCTCTCAATCCTTTTTGGCCAAATGCCCAAGCCGTGGCAGAGCTGCTACATTAATCATCTTCACTCGACAAAGACCGCAACAACACCAGCCCAGAGAGCCAAGAGCCACACACAAACTGAAACGTGCGGCAAGGACCAGGACAACACTGCCTGTCATAAGTTATTAACAAAACGACCCTTTAGCCCACATATGCCAAAGCAATTCGTAGAGTGCCATCACAGGTTTACTCACTGACACAGACACAGACACAGACACAAGCAAACAGTGACTGCAAGGCAAGACAATATTTTGGTAGCACACTCGAAAGACAGAGCAGCCACGACAGCACTCGCAAAGAGATAGACAGAGAGAGAGAAAGAGAGAAAGAGAATCCCGAGCTTCAGTTACATTTGGTAGACATTGTGGGGGACGGTGAATGGGACTTCAAGTTGGTTGCATTCTGTTACATTTTCTCTGCTTTGCGGCGAGGGGCAGAAGCTGAATGTTTGGCTGCCCCAAAATTATGACCACTCGGACGCAATTTACTGGCAGTGTGCCAAGGCCGGTGACGTCGCTGTTGTGGCTGACAGCTCATTGGAATTTTCATTAGTGTTACAAGTGCGCCGCCATTGAGACGGCCCGTCCAGAGTCGCCAAGCGACGGCAGTAGCAGCAGCAGCAGCAGCAGCAGCAGCGGTGACGATGGCGGCGACCTTTCAAAAAATCCACAAATACTTACAGACACACACACACACACACACATGAAGGGGGTTGGGTTACGCCCACAATTCAAATTTGAGTGTGCGAGTGCGTTGGTTCTCTGAAAAATCCAAACAAGCTTCAGGATTAATGTGCTGCGGGTAGTGTAAAAGTTTTCAAATTCTTGGCATTGCACACTTTCAGGGGCGTCGCTTAACTGGATTCATATGTCCTAAAAGGATCTGTAACGAGGCCGTACTTTGATGCCGAAATTCTCTTTAAAGGACCCTCCGTGAGTCTGGCTGAAAGATTTGGATGGTACCCCCTAGACGGGACAGTCAACTTTCGAGTGGCGTTAATGGGAAAACTATTTTACTTTCAGGTGTGCCGATAAACAGGGCTTGATGGAGAGGGTGGAGAGTTGAATGGCGGCTCACGAGCGCCGATGTCTGGCAACTATTTATTCCTGAATGGAACACTAAAGAGACTGCATTTAAGTTGGGAATATTCCTCCAAGGCCTTCCCCTTTAATGTAGTTCCTCGCGTACAGAGTAGGATGAGTATTATTTTCGTGGCCGGTCCAACTTTCGAGGCGCGCTAATGTGTAAAACTATTTAAGTGCCACCTCCCTTGGCCCTCTCATTCTGCCCCCTCCTTGGACCAGACAATGTTGCAGATTGCCGCTTGCCATTCCTGTTTTTGCTTTGGTAATTGCACTTTCGCTGGTTTATTACCCACACAGTCATAAAATGTAATGCACATCATGTACAAGTACTTAAATATGGCGGAGGCTCCGCTGATGCGTATGCCCAAATTTTGACAACCAGCCATTACCATACATGCACATAGTATGTATGTATGGGCAAATACAGCCACATCCCACGCTTTTTTGTTACCCCTAATGAGGCTACCCCCACGTGACATTCGGTACTCATTTATCTGGTATTTTTGGTCTCAATGCAAACAGAAGTGAACGCGGAAATGTGTTTTGTGGGTTTTGTGTGTCTTTTTATACCCTTTCGGGGGGTATAATGTTTGGGTTTGTTTTTGTACAAAAAGTTCATATTTGTAAGCCTAAATCATCAAACAGATGCTCCATTAATTTGCTTGCGGAACCACCACAATTTTTGGGAGTATTTAAAAATAAAAAAAGATTTGATCTGCCAGGACTTGATATATACATTATATCTTAGCTTTAAGTGTAGCCAAAGCTTCCCAGTAGTCTTTACAGCTTTACAGCTTTCCTTATTTAATTCCTATTCGTGTGTACAATGTCCTGTCACCGTTTGTTTGTGATTGTGTTTGTGCTTGTGTGTAAGAGAACAAAACAATAAAGAAATGCGGCAGAAATAAATTGCAATTGTTTTGCATTTGACGCACCGAAAATATCTTCGTTGGGATGGGTACAATGGCAAGGGGCAAATGGGGGGGGGGGGGGGGGGCTCATCGTTATTACAGTAACTATCTTTTTGGTGTGGCATGTGTGCGGGTACTTGGCTGGCCTTTATTGTGTATGCCTCAACAATTCCACTGTGGCAAATGGATTTCCTTTTGTTCCATCGAACACACTGCCAGCACACAATCAGACCACACACACACACACACAGCACACACATATACATATAAGACACACACTCACACATGGATAGACATTCGATTCACCAACTATTTCAATTAGAAAGCACTGTCTGAGGAGGAGTCCCAACTTTCACATCAGAACATCAGAACCGATTCCACCTGTCTACATCTTCTTGCTGGAGGTGGGTAGGTGTGTAGCTGGCTGGGGTAGGGATTGGAGTTTCTATAAAAGGAATCACACATCAACCGCAACCAGTACACTCGCAGAAACTAAGATCAACTATTTTCACATCAATCGAAATTTAGTCAAATTTAAAACCCACACGTGTATGTACCTTACTTTAAGCACTCTTCTTGTTCACTGAACAATCATCCTCAATCATTATCTATGGATCGGTGGAGAATATAACGTGTTTTCTCGCTGTGTCAATACACAAGTGCCGTTAGATGCATGTGGCATGTGGCATGTGTGTTGCGAGTGAGTTCGTGTGTGGAGTCGATTCACCGCTCTGCTTGGCTCGGCGTTGAAATATTTATATGCAAATAAATAGTTTAGCAAGCTATCAGCTTTCCCCTGCTTCTCGCTGTTTGCTCCTCGCTCCTTGGCTGTGTGTGTGTGTGTGTGTGTGTGTGCTATTGTCATTATGCGTAATGTATAGCAAGGGGGGGCGGTACACCGTAGTGGGCGTGCCATAAACAATAACCAGAGAAGAAAGGATAGATGTGTGTGTATGTATAGGAGAATTGTTTTATTAGGCGTTAATGGTGCGTGGCATTTAATTGCTAATCCATTGCCTTTGGGCCCAAGTCCTGCCAGATAAGGATGAGGCAAGCAATATGGTCTCGGGCCATGTAATTCCAGTTAGGTAAATTGATTTAATTGAGTGGAATTTGTCTTAATTATTAAATCAATAGGAGCACAAACCGCTGTGGAATTTACACAAGAATAAGTCGCCTAATTAACCCAAGCCTGCTGTGTCATTTCCATGGAATGCTCTGCCATTTTATGTGGCATTGTGGCATACAATACCCATCAAAGGGTGAGATGAGTCTGCCCTCTCGAATATTTCAAACGTGCTTTTGGTTTCATTAAATCATAATGAATAAAATATTGAAAGCTGCCACGTGGTAAAAAGTTATTTAATTAGGGTCAATGGAGAATCGTTCAAATGCCAAATATCAATTATCAACTTTCCAGCAAAAGGGCAATCCAAACAGACGTAAACTATTCCGGGAAATGGCAAAAGGAAAGATTCAAATAAAGCTAAGCAAAAGCGAGACAAAAAAATCGTAAAAGAAAACAAAAGAATTCTTTCCGAATAGAATTTGCATCTAGAAAAAAATGAATTCGGCGAAATATTTATGTGCCAGGACACACACAAACACAAACACAAACACAAACACCCTCCCACAGTTGCAAACATAGTGACGCTGTTGACTTTCATTACCTTGCGCAAATAGAGGGAAAGTCATTAAAAATTTTAATGAAGAAAGTTTTTTTCTTTTGTTTCTCGCTGTCATCATCATCATCATCATCACCGTCATTCTCCCATCCTCATCCTCATAGCCGCAATCTTCAGTCGCGTCTTTAGGCGCCGCTTTAACTTTGTATTTAAATTTTGTTTTCTTAAAAGTTATTCTGCCCCACTTTATTGTGAACAACAATCGGGCAGACGGTAGTGGCAGCAACAGCATCCGCCGCCACCGCAGTTGCTTCTGCGCCTGGCGCATGATTTATTAGAGCGATAAAGTGATTAAATTAAAATTGATTTATATAGCAAGAACATGAAGGCAAGGGCGCCACTGCAGGCGACAAATGGCAGACGTTTACCTGGCTGGCCTGGCCTGGCCTGGCCCCCTTTTTACATCCTGATTACCACTTTGATTTCTTCTTTTTTATTTCCTGGTTAGAGGGCGCAAAGCTAACCACCCAACCCACCACTGCAGTGGTGGCCAAAAGTAAAAACTTACTAATTTATGCAAAACAGGCGGTAACGAGAATGTCGCTTGACGGTGACAGAAACTGGAACGGTGACAGGAACTGAGCCAGAGCCAGAGACAGAGGCAGAGTCTGGGGCTGGGGCTTTGGCTGGGGCTGCTTGAGGCATCGTTTTGAGAAGTGGGGTAGCGGACAACACGGCGTATGATTAACCTAAATGTTTTCGCTGTCAGCGTCGTTTGGTCCCTGCTTTACATTTAAATTACCAAACTAAAAAAATATTGCTTGGGGCTTAATTTATTTCCCGCTGCGCCGTTCAGTCCATGGCCCGCCCACCAAACAGAAAAAGGTCCTTTGTCCGATCCTTGGCCGGGACTCTGATTCTGCTGGCTTGTTTGTGCTAGCCAAAAGGGCAACGCAACTAATTTGCTGGGGACAAACAACTGGCCAAATAAAGAGCCAAATAAATAGAGGGAAATTGTCAAACCTTCGGCCCCAAACCGAAACCGAAACCCAAACCAGCTTCGATCATTTGCCAGAGGCTAATTCATCGCTTAAGCGACTTTATTGAATGCATTTGCCCTACTGGGATTCTCCATTAAATTTAAATAAAACACAAGCTTCTTAAAGGTTAGTATGCACTAGGAAAATAGCTGCTAAGGGAGCAGCAGTCCCAACTCCACTTACCGTGGGGATGTCGCCAGGCTCCAGTTGTTCCGCTTCGGCTACGGCTGCGTCTCCAAGTCTACTTCCTGCCCCTATCGATGGCAATTTCTCGGACCGTTGCCTAAGGCTCCAGTTCCTGTGGTTGATCCTGCTGCTGTTTGGATTTTTTTGCTCTTATTTTTCCTATTTTCTCAACTTCTTATTTATTGCTGTCGTCTGGGTTGTGGCTGTTGTGGTTCTTGCACTGACGATGCGGTCCAAATTGAATTTCACTTCGAAAATATACGAGCATGATTAATCACTTAACGTAGGCTGGCTGGCGGAGACCAGAAAGGACAGAAAGGACTGGAGCAGACCCATGCACGGACAGGAGCGCGCAGAGAAGCGACCGCATTCCGGTAACTCGATTAATGCACTCGAGGCATCTGATTCGATTTGACAGACTTTGGCCGGAATATCATTAAAAATGCGAAAATAATTTCACATTAATCGCAATAAGTCACAAAAGAATATTGCTCCAGAATATTGTATGTTAATTGAAAAAAAACTGATTGCACTTTTTCTGTGAAATTAATTAGACTCGTTTTCCATTCACTCATTCAGTTCGCTGCCGAGACTCATTCACAAAAATGGATGTATTTTTTGTTGTTTGGGAATTACGAATTGCGAACCAAAGACCAACGCGACCAGAACACCACTGAAAGCCGCGTTTGAGCGTCAAGCTGTGATGGAGCACACGGAGGCAGGCAGCCAGAAGTCGCCACGAAGGTTCACAGCGGACCGAAAGCGACGGCGACAGCGACGGCGGCAGTTGCTACCAGGAGCGACCTCGAGCAAGGTTCGGCTTCGTGCCTCGGTTGGGACTGAATGACGAGACCAACCAGTCGCTGGCCTGAATGAGCCGCCGACGGAGGCGCGCCAAACACACGAGGACGATGATGGCAGCTCTGCCTGCAAGAAGCTACCATTGACAGTCCTTTCGGCAGCAGCACGGCACACCCACACTCTCGCAGGGTCGCACACACACACACACAGACATTTGTTGCAGCTTTGTGTAGCACACTTTTAGGCGGCACGCTCGGTTTGCAGAAGGAGAAGCCCGGCAAACGCACAGCTGTTGAATTGGCGCCAAAATTCTTGGCCACTTTCGCGCAGGCGTCATTCTGTTATACGCCTGGCATCATCCGACTGGTAGGACAGCTCTCGACAGGAGCGTGTCAGGGTGCAAGTTGGGCCTTGTTTTAAATAGTTTTAGTTTTACTTCTTCCATACTACAACTAAAATAGTTATGAATTGTTGAACACCTGCCGTCTACCCACTGCAAATGAAATGTTACCATTATAATCTTTCTATTTCTTCTTCTATCTTCTATTCTTTTAATTTTCTGAACCTACGCGGACAAGCGGCAGGCTGGCTCTTGGCTCGGCTTTAATCGCAAAATTCCGTGTCAAAAATGTGACACACAAAATACTTGTCTGCCAGTTACCTAACGTTGGGTATTTAAAAAGTTGTTGGCAAAACTTTCAAATTAAAAACCTCGTGCTTAAATTCTGCGAACGGGAGGGATGCGAGCACCTACGATGTCCTGACTGGCGGCAGCTCTTGGCACTTGATTCCTGGAGCAGTGCAATCTCTTTGCAGTGCAAGACTCACTTCCCCATTCCGTTTATGGCATTTTGCATGTGTAAATACCGTCCTTATTATTTTCCTCACGTTCGCAGGGGCAAAGTGACTGATGCAGCACCAAATTAACGAATTCCGTCGAAGCAATTAAAATTTAGCAGAGAGTAATATTTATGTTCAACAGAGAAGAAAGCAGGAACTGCAGATAATTCAAGTGTCTCGATAGTGTGCTCTTAGCGCGAGATTTAATTTCATGTTTGCACTTTCTGAATTTATTTCCATTTGCTCAACGGAAGCGACCTGAACCGCAAATGGAAAACCGACTGAAATGGGATTAAAAATGCATGACATCAATTATAAGAAGTTTTCTTAATTTTCATCCTGTCATAACTCACATTGGGCTTCACACATGCACAACTTTTTCTCCTGTTCCTTTTTTTCCAGCTCCTTTCCAAGTCGAACAAGGGCAAAGTCGAAAGGCGAAAACTTGCAATGCCACACACTCACCCAAAACACACACACACACACACACACACATGGAGTGGAGACAGCACATTTGTTTATTCCTCGATTGCGTACAAACATTTGCATTTGCATAGACAAGTTAAAAGCATCGCCTCCTCTCCCCACGACCCTCAGAGCAGAGCCAACTTCCTGCTGCCTGACTGCCTCCGAGTCAATGCAGCTGCCGTTGCAAATATGTGGAAAAACTGCTGCATATCCCGCTCCGGTTGCTCCTGCTCCTGATCCACTCCTTGTTGTATGCAAAATTGCAGATTTCATATGCAAATTTTGCACTTCTACAGAAAATTATTCAAATTACTTGCGAGCGACAAGCATTGTGGATGGCACACACTCTCTCTCTCTCTCTCTCTCTCTCTATAAAAAAGAGGAACAAACGGCCCACCTCTTCACGTTGCCCAGGAACACCAGTCAACAGCCAAGTCCTTTGCCGCTCAGCCCCATCAATGGGATTGGCAAATCTTTGCTCAGGTCCCATGCAAAGTCAAATCGAAATGGGGAATATTTGTGCACACCAACGCCACCGCCACCACCACCACCACCACCATCAATCAGGGAAATGGGCGAATGGCGGTTTGGGTTCATGGCTTGTAATCCTTTAATATTATTAAATAATTAACACGCATTACTTGGCTTGTTTATGGCAGCTTTGGCAACGGCATCATCTCCTTCTGCCGCTTGGGCGGGCGGAAGTGATGGATCTCAAAGTCCTGCGAGGCAGTGCTTTCCGCCTTTCCTCTGCCAAGCTTCATTCTATTCTGCTCTTCTCAGCGGGGGGGCAGAGGATTTAGCCATCAAAAGATAAACGTAATTATGGAGCATTTAGGAACACTGCCACGAGCACTGTACTTCGCACACCATGGCGCAAATGAAGACAATGCCGCGATGGTGCGAAACATGCAAATTAACTGGAAAACTTTTGCACACCGACTACGACTACGACGACGGCGAAGGAGTTAAAGTTCATTTTTGTAAACTAAATTTGCATATTTAAATGGCATTATGCCCAGACACTTGACAGTCTAACTGCCAGTTGGCAACATTCAGCATCGCACCGAGGAACCCAGAACCCAGAACCCAAGAATCAGACTCTGTCTCCTGCTCCAGCTTCTGCTGTCTCCGTGTCACTCTACGGTGACAGTCGGTGCCTTGTCACGTTTCTGTTGCCTCATAAAAGTGAGATTGAATTTTGAACGGGTGGGCAACAAACTCGTTCCGTTACCCGTTCTACACTCACTCTGGCGAGTGCGGCTCTGATTCGGGATTGCCTCTGCCGCCTGGGTGATGCGCTGCCGCTGCGATGTCTGTGCTTAATAGGCCACATGAACTTGAACCCCATCGTGGTATGAGCATGATGATGATTATGATGGAGAGGGCAATCCAAAGGAAATTGTTGCACACGCGCGTGTGCCACAAAGTAAAAGCAAAAGTGAAACTGAAACTTTTCGCTCAGCGAAAGTGAGATTGGGAGAGGGAGAGGGAGTCACAAGCGGAAGTCATTAACGTCTGAAGGCTGAAGAGTCGATTCATGTCGATGTCATGTGTGCGAGGAGGAAATTTCATTGATAACTACTCATCACTAGATTTCTTTTAGAGTGTGTCAAGGAAACGATGTATAATGAAGAGCGATGGGTGATTCACGTCCCTAACTGTAAAAGCTGGAGCTGTAAAATGGGGAATCGAATCGAGGCGCGACCAGGGTTCATAGGGTCATTGAACAAGGGTTCGTGAGGGGGTTTGGCATGTGCCATGTACCAGGGAATGGTAGATGGAAGGGATTCCAAGAATTTTGGCTGAAACGTGACTGGAGAGAGAATAGAAAGCGACAGAGAGCACATGGATTCAGACTTCGGAGTGGCTTTAACAGCACCCAACAGAACTTAACTGGCCCCGATTCCAGCCATTGATATCAAACCATAATTAGCCAGAAATCGCGAAATCGATACTAATCCCATATGCGCTTCGAACCAGCAAACTTTGAAATCAAAAGCAGAACAAAGGGGAGGACCACTAAATCAATTGACATTTAACGACCAGCACTGGGAGAGCAGCGAGAGCAGCGATTGATTGACACGACGCTAATTGCAGACCAATCTGCTTGGTTGTCCATAATACTGAGATTAGTAGGCCGAAACATGCGTGTGAATGGGTGGGTGAGCAGGAGCGCAATCAAGACATCAAGGACCAGCCTTGGCTGGCGTGGCAGATGAATATATTTCAGGCCAGCAGCAATTTTCGTTGCTGTGTCTTTTGTGTGGAATCAAATAACGATTTCGGTTACCGCAAACTTGTAGCAGCCAAAAGATTGTTGACCAAACAACTCAATCGGAGAAGGAATTCGACAAGGACATGGACACAAACATGAACATGGAATGCACGCAATGATAAATCGAAAATATTTTTAGTTGTTTACACAGCAAGAATTTTGGGGGAGCGACACAGAGACAGACAGACACAACAGAATGTGGTACTGCCACTACTCCGGCACTGCCGCACAGCCCGGATTGACCAGCACTCAATAAAAAGTAACGCAGACTCCTCCGGCCACTCGTTGCTTCTCGAGGAGGCGGCCAGCTTAATGAATGTACAAACAGTCGGGTCGGGCAAACGGGGGATTAAGCTGACATTGGACCCAGAGAGACTGTCCTCCTGACCTCCTCGGCTGCAATCGAGTTGGGTAAACAAGTTGCGCGTCCTTGTCCACTTTTAGTTGCTCGCACAGAAGGATTCTCACTCTCGCCACCTCCCTCCCAGTTGGCACTCAAGTGTTAATTGTGTGCGTGATTTAAGCTTCAGTTGTAGACGGGAGACGGGAGCGCCTTTGAATAATTGCTTTTTGATTGAGTTCAATGCTGCGAAGGCTTTCCTCTGCGCTTAACTTTCATTTGAATTCCCAATCTCTTTGCCTTCGTCGAGCACGGCGCGTCCATCCATTTATAGCAGCAACAGCAAAATCTAATATTCCGCTCCAAAATGTTTTATCCCCTCGAGTTGCCACGGCCTCGACAGCCTCTTCATGGAGAGAGGTTTGGATTGATCGGCGCGCAGCAGCAGGAGTCACAGAACTCCAGGGGGAATAGTTCTGCAAAACTATGGCGACTCCTTCTTCCCTATCTCAAGGAGTACACGGCGAGCTCCTCGGTACATGGCATACGATATCTGGCCGATCCCAAGCTGAAAAGCTTCGAGAGGTATGTTATGGCTAGCACTCCCCTGTGGCTCCCTGTGGAAATAATTAAATAATTCACTTTTGAGCATAGAATAATTTGGCTGCTGATTCTGGTGGCCACCAGTATTGGTGCCAGCATTGTGTACGTGGATCTCAGTGAGCTCTACCAGTCGGTGCGTATTCAGACGACCATCAAGAACACAATGTATCCGATATTCGCAGCGCCGTTTCCTGCCATTGGCATATGTCCGCGCAACCGCATCAATTGGCACAAATTGGAGAACGAAGCTCCCAATCACTTTCTGGGTCCAAACATCTCCGACACACAAAAGGAGCTCTTCATTCGCTTCTTTACGGCTGCCTCCGACTCGCATCTGACTCGTATGAGAGAGATGACGAGCTTTTTCAGCAATGCCACGCTAGCTGCGGACCTGCACCTGCTGGATGGCTTAGATGTGGCAACCGTCATTGAGTATGTCCATCTGGAGTGCAGCGACATCTTCTCCTCCTGCCAATGGAGAGGCAATCCGATGAACTGCTGTGAGATTTTTGAGTTGGAGTTCACAGAATCGGGCCCCTGTTGGGTTTTCAATTCACTTCTCAGCCCGGCAATGAAACAGAAAGCGGTGAGTGTGTGGTCGGGGCATTAGATTAAAATCATTTTCATTTGTGGCTGGGCTCCACAGAAGGAGAGCAGATATTATCCCCGTCGCACACCCCTGTATGGCGAGGGCACTGGCCTGGATGTTTTCATGCGGCTCAACAAGTCTCTTATTCGGCCCAATAAGCGGGGCGTGTACTTGATGATCAAGCAACCGCAACAGTGGAGCGATGTGGTGCGCCATGTACCACATGAGTCCCACACCCGTGTCAGCATGGTGCCCCGTCTGACGACCACGGATCAGCGCACCCGTGCCGTGTCGCCGAGCGTCAGACGCTGCATCTTTGCCGATGAGATTCACCATCCCAAGTACAAGAATCTGCCGGGCTTTGAGTACTGGTTTGGAAACTGTCGCAGCAAGTGCCACCAGGAATATGTCGTCAATCTGTGCAAATGCTCGCCCTCTGTTTTCTTTCCGGTAACCAATAAGGGTGAGCATCTATTCTTTTCACATTGGCATATTGGAATAAATATTCTGTCCATTAGATAATTTTACTGTCTGCAAGCCATCGGAATTTAAGTGTCTCTACGAAAACAGACGTAAGCACTAAAACCATTTTGAACAAACTACTAGTATAGATTCTCATTTTGCCATTAATTTTGCAGACATTTTTAGTGAGGAACGGCACCCCCTTGAGAATGAATACGTGGACAATCTGTACAAGGAGAGCATGATCTGTGACTGCTTCATTAGTTGCACTCAGCTAATCTTCGAGCGAGTATTCAGTTCCAGCAGCTTGGAGTAGTTAATCACCTTGCAATCCATTGACATTGCCTGACCCAATATACTTCAATCTCTTCCAGTAATAATGAAACCGAAACAGAGGCGGGTACCATGCGCCTGGATATTTTCTATCAATCGGGATGGTTTATCCAGTATCAGAGCAATATGCGTTTCACCTTTGTGGAATTGCTGGGTGCGTAGTATCCATATCAGCCCTTGCCCAAGCTTTTCATTGGTTTAAACTAATTGCAGCTAGTTTCGGTGGAATAATTGGCCTCTTTTTGGGCGCCTCACTGTTGAGTGCCTTTGAGCTGGTCTACTACTTCACCATTGGCCTCTATTTATATTTGCATGGGCAGAGGAAACTGGACCAGCAGCCGCCTCCAGTCATTACCATACCCTTTGGACAGCGAAAGATTACGCCAGTCAAGTATTTACGTTAATGAGAGTATTGCAATATTAAGAGTATTAATTATTAATCATTCAATAAATAACTTTCACCAAGCATTCCTCTGGTACTGCTGCAGCGGATGCCTTATCTTGCCTTTGGCCTCCTCCTTTGCTGGGGTCGGGTGCACCTGGTGACTGGCTTCGTTCTGCAAATAGCGCTTAAAGGTGTGCCAGTTCATCGTAATTTTCTCACGGAGTACGCCAAAGTAGCAGTTGTCATAGAGATGCATGCCAAAGCCGATGGTCAGATAGTAAATCAACTCAACGCCACTGACCAAGGATGCACCCAAGCAAAGGCCAAAGATGCCGCCCAAATTAGCTGTCAATTCAAAATAAATCAAATGCTTACAGATGCCTAAAGCCGAGTACATGTGCATACCTATCAAATCAATCGTGGTAAATTCCAGGCTGGTGCGGTACAGCGGCGTCGTCTCCACTTGGTAGTGCACATCCACCTTGAAGAGTTTCAGATGCGGATCCTTGGGGCTGCGAATATATTTTACATACAATATGCACTCGTTTAAATACACCAAAGGATTCGTCTTACATTCTCCTGACAGAGAGGGGCAACGTTGTTGTGGATGTGTAGTAATCGATGAGATAGCAGTTGACCAAACAGGAGCATGTCATGCCTGGTTTGGTGGCACTAAATAGCGCATCCTCCTCCCGACGCTTATCGTAGCTGAAAATATCTTCAACGAAAGTGGTTCAGATGGAGGTATTTCCTTTGTCTTTTGTATGCTCCTTACCATTATGCCTCGCGATGCACCGCAGGCTGGTCGCACTGCATTCCTGGACTGAAAAACATAAACTCCATGAACTTTCAACGCGAAAAGCCCCACCAACTCACCTATTCTATTTTGTAGAAAGAAAATCGGCAAGGAGCAGTTGCAGAGCTGTATCAAGTAGGACTCATGGCACCGATTCAGACAGTTGGTCAGCTGAAAGGGCTTGCCGTACCTCTTGGCCGAGTCCGTAGGATCCAATTCCAGCTGCTCTTCCGCAAAGAGACAGTTGCGACGCTCGGGGGGAATGCTTCGGGTGGACTCGTCGGTCCAGGTCAGATCGGGACGAACCGTCACATAGGTCTCGGTGTTTTGGGTCATCGAATAGACCACATTGCTCACTTGGTCTGGCTTTTTGATCATTATCTGTTACATGGAGAACTGATTATCGTAATGTTAGCCAATCCCTTTCGTGGACATACATAGACTTTATCGGTCGCCAAGGAATTCGGTCGCTTGAAGCTCTCATTCATAAGCAAAGCAAAGTTGAGACCCGTGCTCTGACCAGCCTTCGCATTGTGCCGCGGATAGAATTTGGGGCCTTCGCGTTGCTTGATTGCCTTTGAGCGCGGCGAAAACTCCGAGTTGAAGACCAAACAGAACCCAAACTCCGTTTTCTCCATCACAAAGTACTCGCAGCAGTCGAAGGATGAGCTGCGCCACAGGCACGAGTTGGGCACCATAATATCCTTGCAGCTTAGTGCCAGGAAACCGGCCAAGGCTGTGATGTTGATGAAGTCCACGGCCTCGAGGTTGTCGTCCTCCAGCTCAGACAAGCCCACCAAATAGCTGCCAAAGCGCAGCGTCTCCAGTCGAGCAACCAAAGTGGTGAAGTGTTCCACCAGCTGCAAGCTGGCATTGGCAGGCAGGAACTCCGCCTTGGCTGCCTCCAGCAGGCTCCAATTGATGCGGTTGTCAGTGCAAATGCCAACGGCTGGAAACTCCACCAGATAGACGGGATACTGCGGATCCTGGACGACAGTTTGCAGCTTCTGCGACGCAAAGCGCTCCGACAGCATCATATATAAGAACCAGGACAGGCCAATGCTAACGGAGAGCAGCAAACACCAGATAAGTCTGCAAGGGAACGCAAAGGGATGCGTCAGTGAATTGGATTCCATGGACTCCATGCTGTGGCAGACCTCTCCAGGTTGTGCAGCTGCGGATCGTAGAGATAGCGGACACAATGGATGGTTGACTTTTCGCAGTAGCTCCGAAAGTAGTCGCGCAACAACTCCATAAAGCACTTAGTCTCTGCCTTGTGTGGCTCATCCGATTTGTCACCCTTTGCCATGCCGGAACGCGAGTCATTGAATCACTACTGAGCTCTGCTCCGGCTGCAGGGAAACCCTTTTATGGAATGGAATGGCTGGAATGGAATGGAATGGAATGGAAATTGCTGTCTGAAACTTTTATCGGACAGATATCCATTACGGCTCACATCGGTTGTAATTGAGTAGTTATGTTTTCGTCAAATGATAAGCCAGAAGTGCGTGTCGTCGCACTCATTGATTAGCGGGCTCGCCTCCCAATTAACCGTGACTTTTCCCAACCAGTCAGTCCTTTAATTGAGCGAAATGGGTGAAGTTGAAATGCAGCCTGATCCGCAGCTCGGCAATGCTAATGATGATGATGATGATGATGATGCCAGCGTTCCGGGCAAGCAGATTAGGTCCAAGAAAAAGGAAAAGAAGAGGCACAATAAGTGGCTTTCCGTAAGGCGGTAGGTTAGCTCCACACTTTCGTGACACTCAACCCACTGACAACTCCCCACTTTGACCCCATTTGCAGCTGTGCCCGCATACCACTGAAGCTGATCTTGGCCATAGTCACTGTCTATGTGTGCATCCTCTCCTCGGAGCGCTACTTCTACTACTGGGTGCAAACCACCATCGAGCGCACCGACGTCCATGTATCGGAGATCAATTTTCCCGCAGTGACAATTATTCCGGTTGTTGTCACCAATCTCAATACGTCAGAGCAGGCACAGCGCCTCACCAGAGTGTTTAATATGGCCCGGGCCGTACTCTGGCAAACACCCGATGCAGCGCGACTCGATAAACATAGCTTCGATGCGTTCCCCGAATACGCACACCTAAATCCCACAATGCTGGACATAGACACTGTATTCGATTCTATGCAGTATTCCTGCAAGAATTTCTTTGCTGAGTGCACGTGGCGCCGCAAGCACATCAACTGCTGCAGTATCTTTCGGTCAAAGTCAACCTACAGAGGATTTGCGTATGTCTTCAACTCCCTACGCTGCGAATTCCCAGACGAGACTTGGCCGTGGTCCGTGGGTACCTCGGGATCCCTCAGTGGCCTTAATGTCAAAATTAATCGAAATCAACATATGTTCGATATAAATATGCTAGGGGTGAGTCCACAATCAATTGATAATTATTGATAATAATGAAACTCCTTGCAGGTGATTGTGCACGAGCCCACTCAGGTGCTGGGCCACAGTATCGTCTATTCCACTGAGGATCGGATAGTCATACCGGTGGAGCCACTGCGATTCACAGCCGAGGCAGACGTGAAGGCTCGTCCCCTCCATATGCGCCGCTGTCTGTTCGAGGTGATGGCGCAATGAATTCTCTGTGGAACGGGGGAAAACCATTCAAAGCTTTCTCGTTGCAGAGTGAAATTGGGCGGCTGGGCCAGTCACGTTCCGAGTGTATCTCCAAGTGCCATGTGCAGTACGTCCTGGCAAGATGCAACTGCACATTGATTCTGCCCACTCCGCTGACTGCAAAGCTGGAAAATATCACAGATCCGACCGACTATAAGGGACAAACTATTTGTGGCGTTAAGCACTTGCCCTGCTTCAATGAGAACAAACGTGCGTCTTGCCATAGCAGATCCATGTTAGCATTATAATCTGTTTACCAATCGACAGTTTCGTTGTTCTCCATGAGCAACATCATCGAGGAGTCCAGGGAAAACATCTTTACGACAATCGACTGCGGCTGCTTCCCCCAATGCGATCACACACAGTACCACACCTCCACCTACACTGAGCGATTGAGCAGCGCGGAGAACATCGACTCGGTGGTCGAGATAGACGTTTACTTTCAGGAGGAGACCCTTTTCTTGTATTGCTCCAGGCTGAGTTTCACCCTACTCGATCTGATGGGTGAGTCTCACACATGCTCCGCTTAGATGGGATGGGATTTCACACACTCCATTACTCCATTACAGTTTCCTTTGGTGGCATAGCAGGTCTGATAATGGGAATCTCGGTACTAGGCTGGGTTAATGCCATCCTGGATCGTTTCACCTGCTGCCGCCAACCCAACGATGGCTAGCGGCACTGCTGCTGCATCTTCTCTCTTCTGAATCTGTAGGAGCCGCAGCTGCGTTCCCACGTTTCTATACCTGTAATCGAAACAACAGACGAACATAAATAAAAACAGAACAAAAGCGCATTAGGGGCATGGTTTGGAATTTAACTACCTGACGATGCAGTGGAAAACTACTACCTTGCCCTTGACAGGGTATCGATTTGGGAATTATATTAGTAGACAGATAGTCCCAGGTATACACGAACGCAGTGCACATTTTCTTGGATTGCTTTTGAACATCTTGTTGCTAAATTAGTGTACAACTTTAAGTTCAATTGATTAACAATGATGTTTAAGGAATAAGGTAAGTGTTTGAATATGCCAAAAATTAAAGGGGGCCAGACTAAGGCACGCCAGACGATCTGTGGGTTATCAGATCTGTGTCATAAAAGAAAACATTGTTGTCCACTTTATCACATCACAAAAGAGATCATCGCAGCCAAAGTTCCCTCTGAAAGAGCATGAATAAATCGAATCGAGTGCCACTCGTAATCTCTCCTCCCTTTGCTCCGTCGAGCATTGCCCGTCCCGTCCCGACCCATCCCATTCCATTCCAGTGTTCAGGTACCAAGTCCATGCCGCTCCTGGGGGTATAAATAGCAGCTGGTCTGGCCTGATCAGGCACAGTCTTCGCTACATTGTCCAAGCCGCCACCACACACTATCAGTTCAAAACAGCAAAATGAAAATCTTAGTTGCCATCTGCGTGCTGATTAGTTTGGTAAGTGTTTGCTACAGATGAACCCATCCGTTGATAACCCTTCAAACCTGATCCACAAATAATTCAAGTAATTAACTAAAAAATTCGTATGGTTCCCGTCACAGGCCTCAGCCGAATATGCCTTGAAGAATCGCGAGAATATGCTGGCCTATCGCGACGAGTGCGTCAAGGAGCTGTCCCTGCCTGCCGATCTTGTGGAGAAGTACACCAAGTGGGAGTATCCCAACGATGCCCAGACCCAGTGCTACATCAAGTGCGTCTTCACCAAGTGGGGTCTTTTCGATGTCCAGACTGGCTTCAGTGTGGAGAACATCCACCAGCAGCTCGAGAACGGACATGCTGACCACAACGAGGCGCTCCATGCAAGTATCGCCGGCTGTGTGGACAACAACGAGCAGGGATCCAATGCCTGCGAGTGGGCCTACCGCGGTGCTACCTGCCTGCTGAAGGAGCATCTGCAGAAGATCCAGAAGAGCCTGGCCCCCAAGGCCTAGAAATAGATGATAGCAATTACTGATAGCCATTAATTTAGTTAATAAACCGATTGAACGTACCACTTGGTAACACCCACTAGTTCTTGGTCGTAGCTGCTAATGGATAAAACAAACATTTCATCAAATATTGGCCATTCGGAATGTTGCTGTACACCAAGGAGCTCGTGGCACCTCGTCCAAATCGCGGTCAGGGTCTGCTGCGCTTCAAGCAGAATCTGCTCAGGAAGAAGGTTGTGAATCCGCTGAGGGATTCATTTTCACATTCCACCATACATGGCATGCGGTATGTGTTTTTGGAGAGTCATTTCTGGGTGCGCTGCCTGTGGCTGGTCATTGTAGTGGGAGCGGCCGTCACCTGCTTCAGCCTGTACTCCGTCCTGATGCATCGTCACAACGAGCAGCTGCTGGTCAGCGTGATAGACACCACTCAATTGCCAGTATACCACATCGACTTCCCCGCGGTGGCGATCTGCCCCTGGAATCATGTCAACTGGTTACGTGTTCCAGATTCCGCCCTCCGATTCTTGCCCCGCAACGCTGATAGCGAGCTAAGGGAAACGTTTCGCCAGTTTCTTCTTGTCCTGGAGCAGACAACCTTCGTGAACTTCAATAAAGCAATCAGACTGTCCGAGCGCAATCTTACAGCGCTGGCATCGTTGAATATGAAAACAGTGATCAACTACTTGTCGCACCGCTGCGACGAGCTGTTCGTCCCGGACTCCTGCGTATTCGATGAGACGCCCTACGACTGCTGCAAGCTTTTCGTGCCGGAGCAAACCGAAAAGGGGCAGTGTCTGGTCTTCAACTCTCTCATCTCGGAACACTCGCGCAAGAAGCAGATCACCAACAAGTTCTACCCGTACAAACTGAGCACTGCAGGCGAAGAGTCGGGTCTCCAGTTCACCATCAACTTGAATGTATCCTATCTGCGAGCTGGCACAGAGCTTCCCTTTGGAATGAATGTGGGTGCAGCGTTTGCAGCATCTAAGATAGATCTTTCATTTATTTACCTTTGTCAACAGCTAATGATCAAGGAGCCTCGTCAGTGGTCCAACAATATGCTTTCTCACCTCCATCCGGACACAGAGAACTTTCTGGCAGTACATCCCATGGTCACCGAGACATCCCCGAACACATACGATATGAGTCCCAAGAGGAGACGGTGTTACTTTGATGTGAGTACATATATTTTGATTTTGATCAATGCTGATTGATTTCCTTCGAGAAGCACGAGAAAAACCCTCACTATCAGGGCACAACACTGGCCTATAATCGGGAAAATTGCATGACAATGTGCCTTCATCAGGCAGTGATAAGGATCTGCAACTGTACGACACCAGCTTTCCTACCACCCATAGGTGAGGCTCTCTCCTTGCACTTCTTTCTCAGCTGACGTCCTACTGTTACAGAGGGCATCCGTGAGTGCGGAGTTGTGGATGCCAAATGCCTCAGCCTCAACGCCGATGTCTTTAGCTATGTGAAGGTGCGCGACCAGGATAAGTTCATCAACGACTGGCGACGCGGTCACATCTGTCATTGCCCCGACAATTGCAACTCTCGAAAGTACGTTATGACGCTCAACGTCCGCAAATTGAATTAGTAAGTAAACCAAACTCAAACGTAAACCAAAAACTTACCAATTGTTGTCTCATTGACAGCGATAAGAACGAGACCAACAGAGTAATTAAGGCACAGATATATTACGGCCAGCGAGTGATGACCAAAATCGTGACCAAGTTGAAGTACACAGATCTCGATATATTAGCCAATTTTGGGGGTATCGTAAGTCTATATATTGGCGCCTCTGCAATGAGTTTCGTCGAGCTTTACATCATGCTGGGAAAGCTTCTGTGGACACTTATCACGGAAGCATACTCTAAGGCAAAAGCGTGGATTACACTGGCATAACTGATAATGAAACGATGACATATATATTTACTCTGTCGTTGATTGGTTACGAATAAAACAATTGAGAGTTGAAAAGCTTAATCGAGGTGCACGTCACTTCTGTTTCGTTTCTTGGTCAGTCGGATATCGTATGTAAATGGCCGGATGTGGCACGGTGGCAGGTGTCTCGGGCAGTTGGTCCAGGTAGGAGCAGCCAATGGCCAAGGCGCTGCCATCGGAGCTGAAGTTTAGTGTTGAAATGGAGGTGTCATACTCGTGGAACTGGCACAGTCGCTTCTTGTTGAAGCCGTCCCAAATGTTAACAATGCAGTCGGAGCCGCCAGTGGCAAATGTGTGATAAACGTTGTGGAAGCTGAGCGCATTCACCGGGTAGATCTGTTCGATGTTGTTATCCCTGTTGCGATGGCATTTGAAGGCAAATTTGCGGCGCTGCACCTCGGGATCGTGGTCCAAGTACTCCACAGCCACACGGCCTTCAATCGAGGACATCACGTAGCCCTCTTTGTTGGGGAAGAGGCGAATGCAACGCGTCTGGTACTTCAGCGAGGACTCGCGCTTCATTATGTAGCTGTCCATTTTGCGCAGGTCCCAGATGAGCACCTTGCGATCCGAGGTGGCCACCACAATCTTCTCGTCAATCACAGACATGGAGTACACCTTGCCGTTGTTCTGCTCGAACGTGCCAACGCAGCGCTTCTCGCGCATGTCCCATAGCTTGACATTCTTATCCCAGCTTCCCGTCAAGATGCCATTCACGTATTCGGCATGCTCTACACAACGCACCGCATCCTCGTGGGCGCCCACAATGCTCTCCGTCTGCGTGTTCACATCGAACAGTCGCAGCTGGTGGTCCAGCGATCCACTGACCACGTGCACAATATCCTGTTGCAAACACAATTAGTCAGTGGTTTCTTAACAAACAGAGAGCCTACATACCATGAAGGCACAGTCGAGAATCGGTGCATCTTGCAGAAATTTCTGCCGCATTTGGTTTGCCGCCACATCGTAGAAGCGAAGCGTTCCGTCCCATGACGATGCCGCCATGTACTGGTTCGATTTGGGCCCGAATTTCACAGACGATATCAAATCCTCTGGCGGATTGTTCAATTTAAACTCTGGCGGACGCATTTTTTAAGGTTTTTAGGCACAATTTAATTAATTTTCAAGTCAAAACAGAAAAAAATCCGGCGTCAGTGGGGTTCAGTGTGACCGCGGTATCGAATTAATATACCGCAGAACCCACAAAAATATACCAACATATACAATCTCATTTTAAAAATAAGCCTTAAATATACCGCAGTCATATATCATATTCCTTGATTTTGATGATCTATTTGATATTACTAGCTTGCAAATACTTTCAACACTGAAACAATAATGTCCGCTTGAAAAATTGACGTATGTTTGACGTATGTAAGTGTATGTAACATGTAGAGACACATGTATGTTATCTGATATCATACAAATGTTTGAAAAACTGCGCGCGCAACCAAAGATTTAAGACATTATATTATTTGAAAGGCAGAGGGAATGCGCTTGGAATGGTTTGGGATGCCGTTCTTCTATCTTTACAACGTTATTGGGGCTAAGCTCCGATATATCCACCCGATATTGGAGTATTGTTCTTGTGTGTGGAGTCCTCCCAAACTCAAAACCAAATGAAGAAACTCACCACGACAAGACAGTCGCCGGCGTAGTACCAAAAACCGACGTACGCGAATATATTCATAAGATAGCGCCTCTTGATGTAAAATGTAGTTCCTTACGAGGGGAAATTTCAAAACTCTTTGAAACATTTTCGAGGGTTTTGCGGTATATTTGATGGATAATTCAGCGGCCACACGAAACCGGCCATTTAAAAAAAACTACACTTGTATTTGCACTATTTAATAAAGTCAAGAAACATCTACTAACTCTACGAAGATCCGTTTCCTCCGCATCCAACTCAATCAAAATATTTGGCTTACACTAAACTACAGGGATGCGGAGGAAGCACACGTACATAAATGGCATTACTCTAGCAATATGTTGGAAGTACTAAGTTTGGTGGTTGCGTTGTGGTTCACGAGTTTCCCTCCTCCGTGAAGAATTCTGGGCTGCTACTACTTGATTTTCCTGCGAAAGGACCGAAAGGACTGCGGCCCATCATCCGCAGTGCTCAGCGCAATAGCGAACTGTGCCGCGTAGTAGGTGATCATGATCTGCAGACGGGGACAGGGTAGAGGCACGCCCACAAACATGGTGACGGCGATCAGGGCATCGGAAACGACGAACAGAACGGCTCCCACGGCGCAGAAAATGGTTAAGAAATTCTTGGCATCCACCGCCCGGGCGAGGGCGCGCCACAGCATGGTGATGAGCAGGAAACAGTAGATGGGTACTCCAATGATGAGTATCTCGTCCAGTTTTTCGTGCACAAAGTACACAACTGCGTGGGAGGGAGGAAACATAAGAGCGAGGCTTGGCAAAAGCTAAGAACCCACTTACACAGCGACACGGCCACATAGAGAGCCAAGCCAATGGCCCACTTGAGTGGCTTCCAGCCAAAAGCGCAGATGTAGAACACATGGGCCACCCCGAAGCTGACCATTCCAAGGGGAAAGAGATTGACGTTGAGCAGGGCATCGCCACCGCAGGAAAAGACCAGGCCCAGAATTATCCACAGCGATCGGCGGTAGCTATCGGGCAGATACAATTAGTATTTATGGATGCTAAAACTATGTACAAATACTTACTCTTTTTTAAGCGAGAATCCCTTAACCACCACATAAAACATCAAGGCCACAATGGGCAAGCACTTGAGCACTGTGGTCCATAGCTCTCCTTGGGGATCCCTTCGCACCAGCGAGAAGTACAGTATCAGGGTAACCACAAAGGGTGCAAGCTTCGGGCCATGTGTTTTGACCTTTGTATATAAGGTGTCGAAAAGATTATCAAGAGAAGAATAGTATTAAAATAACCGGACGATTATCTCTAATCGAACCATGTCCAAACTACGCACGACACACACCCTAACCCGATTAAACAATCGAATTGCTTCAATTCTGATTAGATTAACGCGTTGTCGTTGGCAACCCCAACCCCCCCTCATCTAACATTTATGGTTTTATGGTGATGATGATGTTAATTTGCATATCGTTACCAGGTACTTAGGGATATTTATAGGGGGGCTGCACAAAGGGCCTACCTCTTGGAACTTTCGCTTTTACTGCAAGAAAGAGCTTTTGCTCGGACAGCACAGAGCTGCACTGCCGCTGAAAGGGCTCTGCTCTCGAAGAGCATGGGAGATGTGTGCAAGGTCAAGGACGAAAGCTTTGCATTCATTTGAACGGGTTCTTGCTTTTTGCGGTTAGATAAAGCATCTGTGCAGGCAAACCCAGTCACAGGCATACAAAAAAAGAAAGGTGCGAGTACACAGAAAATGAATTAAGCTGGAACAAAGGCAAACACTGGCAGCAGAGTATCCGATTTCCGTGAGTAGAATCCAATTATACAGCTGACTCCACAGATATTTCAATTTGTATTATAGTGTCGGTACTTACAAACTTCCCAAAATCATTCATGGTTTGGATTATGGAGGTAAATCACTGCTATTAGCGTCAATTAATCAAGCTGCACTTTCACACGGTTAAAGCGTGGGGCGAAAATTAACAAATGATTTACCAAGTCCCAAGTCTCTCTCTCTCTGTCTCTCTCTCTCTCACACTCACACGCTCACTGCCCCCCCGCCAAGCGATAGAACACGTTGCGCACTTTTGACCAACGTCAACAAACTGAAACGTAGCCGTATAATTTAGTTCAGTTCAATTCGCTTCCACACTGTGTGATTGCTGGAGAGTAATAAAGCAAAAGTTTTCAGCTGGGAGCGCACACCGGTGACCAGGGAGTGGAGGGTCGGAGGGTGCATGGGTGGACAGTGCCTCCATGTGGTGTGCAGCATATGCAGCATTCAAGCTGCCCGCTTGCAGATACAGATACGCAAACAGCAGAGGGCAGAGATTGATTATTTTGTACCTTTGCTATTATCAACGCATGTGGAACGCAAGAGCGCAAGAAGAGAGAGAGCAGAGGTAGAGAGAGTAAGCGAGTGAGAGAGAGTCACTGCCTGCTCCAGCAACAGGTTAATATTGAGGAATGAATGGCCCCAAAAGCTTCGCCAGCATCATTTGAGAGCGAACACAAAAGATAGCACACATGCGCACAGACTCTACTCTCTTTTGGCGCACTCTCTTTCACTCTCACTCTTCCTCTCTCTCTCTCTCTCTCTCTTTCGCTGGCACAGCCAAATTCAAAACAATGCAACAACCTCTGCACACTTTCACTGGCTTTCTGGAGCTTTCCCCTGCAGCTTGGGGCAAACTTTTTCACGAGCTTTCCGCCTGGAACAACCACGTTCCGTTCGGTTAGCCTCTTTATGGCCAAAAGTTCATTCCGCTTCAAGTTGTGGCATTTTTCAGGCGTGCGAAAATTCCTCAGCTGTCCTTCGGATACATTTTCAGACAATTTACCCACATTAAAGTTGGCCAAAAATAAGTAGTGCGCGAATAAGTGCAAACGCGTGCTATTGACAGCCTGCAATAACTGATTCTCAGGTGAGCGACAGGCCAAAAGTATGCAATGGCAAAATCTGTGCAAGCAAGAAACACTTGGGTCAGCACTGGGAAAATTGTGTATCCATTGTGTGTGGGGTGGTGGGCAGGAGAATAAGGATGGGAGGAGTGTGCTTCCTGCTGGCAAATACACACTCCTGTAAAAGTAGCAGAAGAAAGGGTGGCACTGAAGACCTAACCAGTGACACACTTTGCAGAGCAGCAGCACCAGCAGTTCGTCATAAATTATGCAAACTAAAATTATGGTAATGTGGTTTGCGGGAAAGCGAGAGTGTGAGCGTGAGATTGAGGGAGAGGGAGAGCCTTGCCAAGACATGCACACACTTGACCTCCGAGAAAAAATCACACACACACACACACACACACACACACACACACACACCAAATGGAATGACGAGACATGGACGACGCTTGACTGCAGAAACCACTCGAGCCGAGGAGACAAGACACTGCAGCAGGAACATGCCTTTTGGGTGGCTCACGTAGCCACACGTAGCCACCCAGCCAAGCCCAAGCAAGTGCACATTGAACTTGAGAATAAATATCTAGGGTGAATAGACGTAGCCCAGAGACTCAATCAATGGCAAAATACTCGTCTAAAATTCATTACAAAGTAAAAGCTACCAGTGATAATTAGATGCTCATTAAAAGCTTTTCATTTAACGTCCGTAATTGATTGATTCGTCGATAGTAATGGAATTGTTAATGTAACCAATCCTCCATTTACTCGTTTGTAGCTTCAGTAAGCCAGCAGAAGCAAACACGCGACATGGCGTGTCCCTTCTTTAGACGCGCGGACTCGCTGACACGTCAGCCCTCGGTCATCGCCGAGCCGGGCACCCATTGGGCCCTCGAGGAAGAAGAGCTGTCTCATGATGCACTCACTCTGACGCATCTGCAAATGGCCATACAGCTGCTGACGGCTCCGTCAAACGATGATCTCAACACGGCCGTCACTTCGCTGGTGGCCAAGTACCGCCAGAGCTGGCCAAACATCCACAAGCTGTGAGTAGAGTTCACTCTGTTCAGAAATTAGCTCTAAAACCCGGAATCAAATTCTTCCACTTAGAAAAATGGATCCAAGTACTTTTAAGAGTTGCGCCAACTATGACTACTTGGCGGACATCCAGGAGCTGTTGCTGAAGATGGACGAGGCCAGTGCCAGCGAGATTTTGGTGCTGCTCGGCGAGGAGCTCATCACCTGCTGCTGCACGGGCATCATTGAGCGGGCCTTCCGCTGCCTGGGCACGGACTTGCAGGAATTCTTAGGCTCTCTGGATGGTGTTTACGATGTGCTAAAGTTGCAAGAGGTATAAAAGATCGATTAAATGATTCAAAGTGTCTCTACTCATCCATGTCTTCCCTTTAGGAGGATGTGACCGACACTGGATTCGTGTGTGCCGGCGAGGGCGAGTTAATTTTTACTTCGGAGCGTCCGGTGATCGCCTGGCTACTACTCGGCTCCCTCAAGGCCCTCACCCGCATGCTGTACAAGGTGGATGTCAACATCAAAATCGAACCAGTGGAGGGTGATGCTCGTCGCTACCGCTATCTCTTCTCGTTGGTCAAGGACAGCTCCCAGACCCTGCAGATGGGTCGCCCCACGCCAATTCCAGAGACTGTGCAGCGCAGCAGCTCGAGCAATGCGGCGGATCTGCAGATGAACTCTTCTAGTTTCTGCAAGATGTTTCCCTGGCACTTCATCATGAACGAGCAGCTGGAGCTGGTGCAGCTCGGACGCGGCTTCAGCAAGCTCTACAAGCCCTATCTGGCGGACTTTGGCAACCTGGCCAGCACCTACTTCGACTTCAAGCGTCCCAAGGGTCTGACCATGAAGTTCCGAGACATTGTGCGGCGCACTTACACTCCCTTCTTAATCGGGCTGAACAGCCCGCCCGGAGTGTCGGATTTCCCGGCCATTGGCCTGGAGATCAAAGGCCAGATGGTGCACTGTCCGGAGTCGAACTCGCTGCTGTTCATCGGCTCCCCGTTCCTCGATGGCTTGGATGGGCTGACCTGCAACGGTCTGTTCATCTCCGATATACCGCTACACGATGCCACTCGGGAGGTGATCTTGGTGGGGGAGCAGGCCCGGGCCCAGGACGGACTGCGCCGGCGCATGGACAAGCTGAAGAGTCGCATCGAGGAGGCCAATTCGGCGGTCACCAAGGAGCGGAAGAAGAACGTCAGCCTGCTGCACCTGATCTTTCCCGCTGAGATCGCCGAGAAGTTGTGGCTGGGCTCCTCGATCGATGCCAAAACCTATCCGGATGTGACCATTCTGTTTAGCGACATCGTTGGCTTCACCGGCATCTGCTCGCGGGCCACTCCCTTCATGGTGATCAGCATGCTGGAGGGTCTGTACAAGGACTTTGACGAGTTCTGCGACTTCTTCGACGTCTACAAGGTGGAGACGATCGGGGATGCCTACTGCGTGGCCAGTGGACTTCATCGCGCTTCCATCTACGATGCCCACAAGGTGGCCTGGATGGCCCTCAAGATGATCGATGCTTGTTCGAAGCACATCACCCACGATGGCGAACAAATCAAAATGCGCATTGGCCTGCACACTGGCACCGTGCTGGCCGGAGTGGTGGGCAGGAAGATGCCCAGGTACTGTCTCTTTGGCCACAGCGTGACCATAGCCAACAAGTTCGAGTCCGGCAGTGAGGCCGTCAAGATAAACGTGAGCCCCACAACCAAGGAGTAAGTAGGAGTCTCAAATGGAATCACGAATCCATCTAATCCACAATTCCCTCTTGCCCGCAGATGGCTGACCAAGCACGAGGGCTTCGACTTTGATCTGCAGCCACGGGATCCCTCGTGCCTGCCCAAGGAGTTCCCCAATCCAAATGGCACCGAAACTTGCTACTTTCTTGAGGGTTACCGCAATTCCGCACTCGAGAGCGGTCTGCCGCTGGTGGCACACATCGATGCTGCCATGAAGACCATATCCGAGGGCGGCGATGCCTAGGCTACTCCAGCGGGAGAATCACTTGCTCAGAAGCCTCAGTAGCTATTCAATGTAGTTCCGTGCACTTGTAGTCAAATGGTGTTGCCCCTCCCCCTATACCCCGATCACCCGCTTAGCCTCTTTCAATAAAACCGAGTCGCGTTCCAGCACAAAATGTGAACACTTTTATTGGTCTCAACGATCTTAAGCACTCGCCTTTGCCGCCTCGGCTGCGTCATGCTTGGCCTTCACTTTGGCCCGGTCTTGCTGGCCATCAGACACTTGTGTCCCCGGAAGGCCCACACATCCGCAGGGCTGCCCTCCTCGTTCTTGTCGATGCAGCAGCCCTGAGCGATCTCCAGGGATTCCTCCTCTGTAAGGCCCAACTTGAACTGCTTGGCAAGACGATCGGCATGGTAGCCCTCGTGGGTGTAGAAGAGGTCCAGATACTGGCGCACATCGGGCGCGTCGGGGAAGATCAGCTGCTTCAGCTGAGGGATGTGATCATCGCTGAGGGGAAAATACACACCACAGCACAGAGGGCCAGGGTAAGGATGAGATACTTCAGCATATTGTTTGTATTCTTGCACACACGATCACGAATCAGTTGAAATTTCTAGACTGAATCGCCGACGGCTCCGTTCCCTAGATTTATACCGACGCCAATGCTGATATCTGGCTGTCTCGCTGCCACCAGCTGCTCTGTGTCAAGAGTTCAGCGATAAGCCGGTCCAGCGTCTAACTATAATATATAATTGCATTCCCTCTTGATGATAAGCTCCATCTAGAGCAGCTCTCTTACAGAGTGGAAATCAGCTTAGGCTTCTGTGCAAAAGTCGTTCCTCGATGAACTTGTTTATGGAGCAACTTCTACTATCACGTGAGAAGGTTTCCTCATTGGGATGCTGTAGATATTATTACATTGTATATTGTGTGAAATTTTAATTAATTTATGCAATCGGAGATACTTGTTATCGAATTACAACTATTCAATTGGTTTCACTTCCGCCTTATAGTTGCTAGATTTTAGTAAACAATTTCTGTAACCAAGAAATGAAACTGAACCTATGTTAAGCTCAACAGGTTGGGATAGAAAGATTCCACACATCTATCAGGCAAGGGAAGCGTCAACAGATTAGTTACCAGCAATCTTTCAAACTCATACACTCAGCAAAAGTAAAACGGAAAATGTTGTTGATGCCTCGGACAATGCTCTACAATGCTTTTATGTTCCACAATTGCTAAAACATTATTGTTGTGTATGTACATAGATAATCAAAAACACTTATTAACATGACATTGCACTTGAACGATTATCAGCTTTTGGGGTCAGTCACAGTCCTAATTCGGGGACAGTCCCCCCTGCCATGTGCGCTGATAACAGCTGATAAATCCCGGCCAGCTTTCACCCATCCAGAGAGTAGGACTGATCCAAGTGGGCAACTGTCAACCGTTAATTCGTCGGCCATTATGCAAGCCAATGCAATCGTATTTAATTAAATCAAATAAAACTCACAGCTGGCGGTCGAGTCCAAAATGAAATACCCAGTTGGCCCCCAGGCGTCTAAGAGTTGTCATTACCATTGGATGGAAGAGTGCTCGTACCATACATTTACGGGTAAGTAAGTATGTGTGGACTGGCAATGGTTCGCTGGGAACCACTCGACCCGACCTCACGACCCTAGGCATATGCGCGCATTCAAGTTCAACTAATAACAGTTGCCTCCACCCGACGCTGTCAAAGGGGCGTACTACTTTTCCAGCTATTATACACAACTCAAAGGAGGTACTGTCCTTAACTGAGGGTTAGATAACAGGGTTGTCAGCAGGCGCAAGAGCGATCGGAAACAGTGTTTATACCCAAACAATGGCTATGATTAGCATCGCATCGGGGTTCTCACTATTGCGCTCCATTTCTTGCCTCAACCTCTGCTCTGCCATTATGTTTTTGTTGTTGAGTTGTGATTAAAATTATACCAAATATACATGGATAGTAGAGGCTCGAAAGAATGAAACAGAAACCAAAGCCAGACATGGCATGGCGATCATTATTTGAAAGGAGTCTACGTTCGGCATATTGACTACTTTCAGTTGCTTAACCATTCACCATATCGACAGTTTACTGTATAGTACTGAAGGTAGCTGAAAATTACATTAACACCCCAAGCGTGTCAATGGCCAGAGTCAGGGAGTGCGAATGTGTCGGAGTGTTGTGGCCAGCTCAAATTACTTAGATGGGAATCAGAATGGGCACGAAATGATTATAGAGATGGAGATGGGATTGGGAAGCTGCAGTTAACGATCCCATAATCGGGTGTCGAAAGATTTTCTGCCGGAATTCGCAATATTGTATAAATTGTCCTGCTCCTTGAGCCATTTTTTGTTTCACGGCAATTGTTTGTAATTTGAGTTTCCGGCTGAAGTTCCATTGGAATGGGAGTTGGGTATGGGTTTTGCAGTGATATTTGGTTGGTGCAAAATTCCAAGGGCCTCATTCTATTTTGTTGTTTGGCGTGTGTCGTATAACAGGAGCGAGGATAAATGACACAAAGGCTGAGCAAACAAATTCGATTAGGGAGATATTTAGTAGGTTCCACTCGGAGGCATCCTGGGTATGTGATATCGTATCTGCATATGACACAAGAATATTCTTGCAACTTGCGAGCAAAGATTTCTCTGTGAGCAAAATGGCAGCCAAGCAAGCACGCAAAGTTTTCGACAACTTTTAACAAAATTTCACGTTTCCATGAGTTTCCGGTTTGTGTTTTCCTTTTTTTTTGTTGCTTCTCGTGTTGTGTGATTTCCAAGAAAACGAAGAAGACGTCCGTCCGCCTACCCTCGCCACCCACCACCTAACAGGGAAAATGTAATTTCATGCCTCGCTGAACGAATCCGAATACATGAGAGTTCAAAGTTTCAGCTTGTATCCAGGCGAAAGCGAGAGGGTCACAGGATGCTGGCAGTACTCGGGGGCAGGACTTGAAAGCGCAGGAAGTTATTTAATGAGATTTCTTCATGTCAAAGATAAGTCGAAGAAAATTCCATGGCCGGCGACTAAGAAAACCAATTGGTCTTGTAAAACAATATGCAAAACAAGCCAACAATCATCCACACGGCGGAGGGTGTGTCTCTGTATCTGGTAGTCTGATTGTCATTGTTGAGTGAGTCAACTGAAAAGGATAAGCGTAGACCGACAATTGTTGCACACACTTGAAATTAAATTAACTTTTTTCGACCCACTCTCTCTCTCTCTCTCTCTCTCTGTCCACACTGAGCGGTGGAGTGGCAAAGCCGCCGCCGTTGGCTGCATTGTTCCAAGGACTGCTGCCGCTGACAGTTCCAAAAAGAACCTGGAGTTGGGGCTGGGCCTGTACATGCGAGAGACCTCAACAGAACTGGAGACAATCGAGCGCCTTGTCGACTCTAGCCATGATTGCTCAAATATTGGCATTGGTCGTCGAACAATTAAACCAAAAAGAAACCAAGTTCAACTGATCAATGCGCTGCTGCAGCAGCAGCAACAACCACAGACAGAAAACAGAAAACAGAAAAACAAAACATTAAGCAAACAAATCGCAATCCAAATGAATGAATGAGGCAATGACGCAAGGAAATATCATTAGCCGCATGTCTTCAAGTTTCATTTTTTAATTTTGTACAATTTTTAGGTTGTGCTTGTTGTTTGTTTTTTGGGTTTTTGGGTTTTTGGGTTTTTGTTTTTTGCCTCCGAACATACCGCAGGAAAAGATCTTTCTTTGTATATTTTTTCGGTGGTCTTGATCAAATAATTTTGCGGCCAATGCATGTTAAATATTTGTCAACATTTTAAGGCACTTTTCTTTTGTTCCCCTCCTCGCTTCACCGTCTCTCCTCTTGCTCTTAGCGATTCAGAAGCAGTTGGCCACTTGAGTCCGTCCGTCGGAGTCATCAAAAGAGCAGAGCGATATGTGGCACACACACACACATGACAACCAACAGCAGCAGCAGCAACGGCAACAGCAAGAGTCAAGTAAAGTAGCAATGATCCCAAAGTGTTTTCAACTTTCCTCAACCTCTGGGCAGACACTTCGGCCATCGGCTACTTATTACACCCAAGCACACCCAGAGATCCAAGGGTTCGAGGTATCCAATTCATATCCAATATCATCTCTTTCTCCGACTGAAAGAAGCAGCCAGCATTATTCATTAATACCCTGTAACATATGTTTATGCATAATATCATATGTATTGGCTTAGTTTAGATCTAGAAAGTAGTAATACTTTCGGGATCAAATGTTCTTCCCTAATTTACAGGGCATTGACGATTCCCTATGCCTCGATCGATTGATTTCGACTTCTCGTTATGGTTTTTTTTTGTATTTGTTGATTTTACATCCATTGTTGTTGCCATGTCGCTCCAGCCGAATGTTGCCTTGGCATGTGTTGCTCACTGTGTGCTGTTTGCATGGGCCTGCACCACCGCCGAGCGGCCCTATATGGACCCTGGCGTACCCTGGGCAGCTCAAGCATGAAGAAAGGCAGCCAAACTGACGACATATTGGACATGTTTCAGCTTTTGTTGGCCGTCGCGACGGTGTGAGCGTGAACGAGTCGGAGACAGAGTTGTCAGCCTCAGCGATGTTCAGCTAATTTGCATATTTGGCCGCAGCGAAAACACTTTACAAGTGGCCACCCAGGGGAGCTCCATCTCAACGGACACATATGCGCGCGCGTGTGTGTGTGTGTGTGTGTGTGTGTGTGTGTGTGTGTGTGTATATAGGCGCACTTTAAACAAAGTTAAAATGCGAGAAATTGGCCCTGCGCAAAACACCAGTAGCCCGATGGCGGCAGCGGCAGCAAAACCAACAACTTCTAGCCATTTACTGTTGCCAACAACTGTGACTGTGACCTCTCCCCAGCGGAACTGGATCTGCCCACAGCCCCACGTACACACACGCACGTGTCAGGGTGAGTACGTATTGGTGCGGTCCTTATGGCGCTCTCTGGCACACACACAGTCACGCGCCGACTGATGCTGCTGCTGCTGCTGCTGCTGCGGCGGCTTCTCTTCTATTCACTTTTGGAAACTTGTTTCTTTTGGCCAACTTGTACAACATTGTTGCCGCTTTATGTTTTACTATTTGGCCATGTACGAGTATGTGTGTGCCAATGGATCTGTGAGAGCTATAGCTCCGCCTCTGCAGGTAGGCGGAGTCTGCAAAGAGAGCCCAAGCAGAGCGCATTTGTGGCAGAGAGCGAGAGAGTGAGGCGCGCGCATCGTTTTTTTTTTCCACGAATGTCGCTGCTTCTGTCGCACTCGTGACATTTTCCGGATCGTCTCGTTCTCGGTTTGTTTCAATTGCAATAAATTTGTAACATTCTAATAGGCCAACACAGCCCACCGACCGACCCCAAAAAAAGAAGACCTCCCGCAGGATGCTAAAAGCGGACAGCAACCCATATTGTGTGATGGATTGCTTATGTACTTTGCCAGCATTCCAATGGTGGATATGTACGTGAAAAAGCTGTTACGGATTTTATCTAGATATTGCAAGTATCGTCATATTTGTCCAAGTTACAACAATTACATTTTGCGCCATGA